TGGGTAGTTACTTAAACTGTCCACACTGTTTTAAACTGCTGCACGACCTACAGGGGTTTCTGAGACACTTTATTAGGTACACCTACAGTATTGCAATAGAAAAGCTGTTATAAAAAATAATATCAATATAGCTCTATACACATATACAAACATATATATATATATATATAAATGTATAGATATATACAATAATTGTAACTATTCAACATACAATAAAATAATAATATACAATATAAACATTTGTTTTTATTACAATTTGCATTGCATTGTAGTTCTCCACTCACAATGATATGCTGTGAAAAGCTAGTTTTTTAAAATGTCCATCCATTTTGTATAGTGCCTTTCATTATTAGCGTAGCTGATGAGCTGGAGTCTGGTGGCAGAGCACATCCTGGAATGGTCACCAGTTATTCGCAGGGCAGAGGTCACAGATTTGTACCCCCAAATTCAGAACCGTGAGGCAAACATGCTGGCCATTAACTAATACAATTGGCTGGCAATTAGTCCTGGGTATACGGTATTCTCCCTTTTTCATGCAAATCAGGTGGGATAGGCTCCAGCTTATCCACCGCCATAATAATGGTGAGCGGTTTTGAAAATTGATGGATGAAAATACAATTGAATGTAATTTCTGCATTTGATGGAAAGTGATTAATGTCTTGTCCGCTTCTTTCTTTTCTTCCAGATGCAGGAGGATCTTCCGTGTTTGTGGTGGGATCCACACTCGGGGGAGTCTTCATCGGGCTCCTGGCGCTTCTCCTTATCTTCGTGCTCTACCTTCGTCAGCGCAGAAACACAGGCTTCGAACCCCTGATAAAAGCTGACTTCACACATAGGAAGTACACGGAGGAAGCTTAGATCCCTATCAGTTTGCAGAAGCGGAAAGGAATGAAACCTACAGTGGCCTGCGTGATACAAAAGGAAATTATTAATCGTGTAGATCAGGGGTGGGGAACCTACACCGGGTGGGTCGTGTATACAGACAACTAGAGCACTTGATCCAGACTAAATAACATAAAACTTGGCCGACACATACAAAGTGAAATGGTCCCTCATCGGGACAAGTTTCTCAAACCCTGTTGTATGCATATCAGTGTTTCCTAACCTTTATTGATCCAAGACACATACTTTATAAGAGGACAAAGTGCATAACCAAACAAAAATGTCACATAAAGTATATAGTGTATACTAAAATTAATTCCATTAATATCCTCACAAATGTTTTTACTCAGTGTGAAATTTGGTGCTGTTTATTCAAACACAAGCTTAATTGTCCCGTCTGCCATCTAGTGGAGAAACAATTTATTGTTCTGTCCGTCACTGTTTATCACTGGTATCAATTGATGAACAGTGATACATTTAATTGTAGTAAATACATTATTTTTGCGACCTGACGACCTCACTAATATACAGCTGCACGGTGGTTGGGAATCACTGTTGGAGATGCGTGACATACGGAAACAATGAAAATCATAACATAGGCTAATTGAGTCCTTGAACATGCGTGTAGTAAAAAAGAATAAATAAATCACAATAAATGTATGTCATCTATTTTGATTGAAACTCGGTCTTTTCGCATTCCGTAGTCATCACAAATGAGAACCTATTGGAATGTTTTTTTTAAGAAATATTTATTCTTAAGAACAGTACAAAAACACTGAATGCAATCCCCTTTCATTGCATTGTAAGGCATATTTCCTCATCTGCTTGGAGTTCATTTGAATGTAACAACAACAATGCACTGATGAGAAATACAAATATTGTCTTGAAGCATTTCCACTTCTGGATACATTTTTCCCCAAATTTGTATTGTAAAAATATTCCCATTAAAGGTTTGATGATACAAAACATAAGAGCACTATAAAGAATACTTTTTGAATGACACGCTGTACACTCGTATAAATCCTTGCTGATATGTTATGAAATGAATGACACAAGCTTTCAGAGGACGCGCACAGAAACTGCTTTTGGGTGGCCAGGCCCCCGACCACCTCAACAATACGCTCTACTGACGAGACGCATTCAGGCCTGTCCGTTTCTCCACTCTCCACGGATTCTCATTTCACAGGTGACTGTGGTCGCCTTCCAGCCCGCCTGTACTGCACAAACACACCGACGTTCAGGCTTCACAAAACACGTTCAGGGGACCCTTTTCTGTGCATTTTGACGCACACTCGCTTTAATAATCCCCCTTATATTCTTCATTATTGTGCTAGTGCAGCTATAGAAATGGCACACTTTGAGACGTACTAAGTATTTTTTTGTCCTTTTCCCGGGGCATTTTTGTGACTTGTTTTTCTAGAACCGTGGCTATTGCAGTAGTTTTGGCAAAATAGACAGGGGCAACATTTGAAAAGATGTGTGAGGACGTAGAAGCTTGACATCGGCCTTTGATTAAATTTCTGTGATAATTTATGTATTTTGTAATTTTGTGATTTGTATACTATTTATTTCGGTGGATGATTGGTTAGCAATTCTGTCTCACAGTTCAGAGGTTGTGGGTTTGAATCCGGGCTCATGTTTTTCAGTGTTTTCTCAGGTTACTCCAGCTTCCTGCATATGTGAATTTGAATGGTATGGGACAAGGTCTCTGAATGTTCTGAACTCCATAGCTGTAGCCAAACACAGCTGCCCCTTTTGGGGAAGGTAGGCTACACCCTGGACTGATCGCCAGTTCAGTGTATAAATCAGCAAACAAGCATTTCAGACCCATTGAAAATTTGCAGGCTTCAATTTACTTGTTTGTTTTTTCAATGTGAGCAATCCAGAATACCCAGAGAAAATGTATAGATGCACAATGAAATCATGAAATCTTCACTCCAGAATGCCAGAGCTGAGATTCGGATCCAGAACATCTACCGTATTTTCCACACTATCGGGCGCACCTAAAAGCATATAATCCAACGCGCCTTTTATATGGATCAACATTCTGATTTCTTGGACGCAGTATTTTAAATGTTCTGTGAAGAGCTTTGTTACAGCTGCGGCAGTTGTGAAAGCTCTATATAAATTAACCTGTATTGTATTCCCTTTAGCGTAGCCCCATCTAGTGGATGCATAATGCAACCGCAGCCACTACTGTAACTTCTATCCTATGCTCCTTATAATGTGGTGCACCTTACATGTGAAAACAATTTTAAAATAGACCATTCGTTGAAGGTACGCCTTATACTCCAAAGCGCCTTATAGTGCGGAAAATACGGTACTTCACTGGCCAATGAAACAGTAATGATAATATATCAAAATAGATGAAATGCTGAACTCTTACTGTAGTCCAATACCCTGTTCACAGCTTGTGAGAATGTGTGATAATAATGTGACTATAATTCAGGATGCGTTATGTCCTTTCTTCATTCAGTGTCTCTTCACGCAAATGCTGGATTTCTTTAGTCATAATCGAACTAGCCTCGAACTAACATACAAAATTCCTGATTAGCCGCATCCAATTAAGTTACACAACAGTTTGCCGGCCTTCATAATGTTTCCTTTTTTTTTTTTTTTTTTTGGAAGGCATAAATGCATTTTAATGAGTACAGTTTCACTAACAGTGATCGAATATTTTTTAGCATTCAGACCTTTTGAACAGAATGGCTGTACTTTCAATGGATAGACACTAACAACATAATCATCATAACATAATCATCCTTGTGAACAAATACAGAATGGCAATGGAGGCACATCAGCACAGACTGTCTACTCTCAGACCCCCCCCCCCACCCAAAAATCTGAAAGAATTTAGCAGAAAGTTAATTAATCTGTTGCAAGGCAAAGGAAAGTATACAATATCTGCCTTTTTCCTTTTTGATGACTACATGGCATGAAGACAGACTCTTCAGACATAGCTGAAATCATTGTAAGAATATAATAGATGAATGAAAAAAAATATATTTAATGATTTAAAATGAAGGACAATCCATGATTAGTACTGATGATTTTGAAGTTGCAAGTTATATACTGTTTGCCCCTGTCACTCCTGCCATTAAATCCTTTGAATCTGATTGAAATGTGACATTGAACATAACTGTACCACTTTAAGTCATCAATAAGCACATTTTTAAACAATCTTACACACACACACACACATATATTTTTTTTTTCCTTAACACAAAAAGTCCAAACAATCAAAGGGCGTGCTATATTCATCCACATAAGGGCAGACATTACTGCCTGTTTTACAGGTATGTGTGCAAAGAGTGTTTTTTTTTTTTTTCCTTAACACAAAAAGTCCAAACAATCAAAGGGCGTGCTATATTCATCCACATAAGGGCAGACATTACTGCCTGTTTTACAGGTATGTGTGCAAAGAGTGTTTTTTTTTTTTTTCCTTAACACAAAAAGTCCAAACAATCAAAGGGCGTGCTATATTCATCCACATAAGGGCAGACATTACTGCCTGTTTTACAGGTATGTGTGCAAAGAGTGTTTTTTTTTTTTTTCCTTAACACAAAAAGTCCAAACAATCAAAGGGCGTGCTATATTCATCCACATAAGGGCAGACATTACTGCCTGTTTTACAGGTATGTGTGCAAAGAGTGTTTTTTTTTTTTTTCCTTAACACAAAAAGTCCAAACAATCAAAGGGCGTGCTATATTCATCCACATAAGGGCAGACATTACTGCCTGTTTTACAGGTATGTGTGCAAAGAGTGTTTTTTTTTTTTTTCCTTAACACAAAAAGTCCAAACAATCAAAGGGCGTGCTATATTCATCCACATAAGGGCAGACATTACTGCCTGTTTTACAGGTATGTGTGCAAAGAGTGTTTTTTTTTTTTTTCCTTAACACAAAAAGTCCAAACAATCAAAGGGCGTGCTATATTCATCCACATAAGGGCAGACATTACTGCCTGTTTTACAGGTATGTGTGCAAAGAGTGTTTTTTTTTTTTTTCCTTAACACAAAAAGTCCAAACAATCAAAGGGCGTGCTATATTCATCCACATAAGGGCAGACATTACTGCCTGTTTTACAGGTATGTGTGCAAAGAGTGTTTTTTTTTTTTTTCCTTAACACAAAAAGTCCAAACAATCAAAGTGCGTGCTATATTCATCCACATGAGGGCAGACATTACTGCCTGTTTTACAGGTATGTGTGCAAAGAGTGTTTTTTTTTCTTTTCCTTTAATAAAAATAGTTTTAATCTCTCAAGCAGAGTTTGTGGGGGTCGGCTTCAGCACTGGAAAGAGGAACGATGTTGTGACCTATCAAGTCAATGGATGTGCATTCTTTGGGAAAGTGGCAATATTGATGCATGACTCACTTGATTTCTTCAGCCTGAATACTGTCTGGCAAAGATGGTCCCCGCCTGTTTTCTCCTGCATTATCTCCAATGTATTTGGAGTACCAAAGCCGAGAGGGCCAGTGTGGTTAAGAGGCCCATGGGGGGCAGAAGGGATGAAGAAGAGCTTTCCACTGGACCTCTCCGGTCGGCTTCCACGGCCGGGGCTTCGGGAGGCGCCACATCCGCCTCTGTGGGGCAGGCCTCTGTGCAGCCGCTTCCACTGCCTGAGCCGCTGCCCTCATCACCTACAGTGGTGAAAGCAAACATAAATTAATACTGGGGATTTATAGAACAACACACGACAATGTTTAATGGATAAGAAATGCATTTATGCATAAAAAAAGGCTACAATCATGTGTACAGCAGGTGCTTGGTTGATGGTTTCTTGACATTATTTGTGGTCTTTTTTCCGTTGCTTTGGCTTGACAGGACTTGTGCAGCATATTAATAAGTTTCTAATAAACAAAGAACTTCATCGGGTTCATATGACAAGAATGTATACTAAGTTAAGCTACAGACTGCTGCAGTAGCATCTTGTGCTAGCCACTAGCTTGCTAGCTGATTCCGAGTGTGACAGAACAGATTGAAGATGAATCTTTTCTTCTATTCTTTTGTCCTCTTTCCTTTCCTCCTTGTTTTCTATTTATTTTTCTTGCTTTTTACATTGAAGTAGGTTGCTAAATTGCAAAGTGTGAATACAAAAATGAAGGGTTGCCGATATGTGTTCTGATTGTTTGACCCACAAGTCTGGTTTCGAATCTCCGCAATCTTTTGTGCAGTTTGCATGTTCCCCCAATGCTTCCATGTAGCTTCAGCGTTAATAACCGAAGAAGAGGAAAAAGCCGAGCACATAACTCACTTGAGTCCTGAAAGTAGATATCGTTGCCATTATAGGCATTTTTCAGCTTGTTGGTCATCACCCGGAGAGCCATGATCTGCTGACGAATCAACGTGTCTGGACGGGTGATGTCCACATTGACCTCAGGGTTGTTCAACTGGTTAGTCAGTCCATCCAATACCACTTCTGGGAAATACCTTTGTGAGAGAATAAGAACAAATGAAGATGTATTTGGATAAAAGCAAGCCAGATTTATTTTTTTTTTTGTCGTCATTTTAAGTGTACATGTTGCGCTCACTAACACACAAAGGCATCTTGTGAAACTTGACCTAGAAAGAAAGAGGAGACCATTATCTTTTGATGAGTCACATGCTCATGAGATGCCTTTGAGTGTGAAGACAAAGCACTACAACATGACACAACATTCCATTTGGCCATTAAAAATAAATAAATAAATAAAGCTTCGAACAGTTGACACGCTACAACGGCCTTTTTGATAAAGCAGCAGAGGATTGTTGTGCAATTCCATTACTATTGCTTGCCAGTACACCATTTGTTCCCCTCGGAAAAAACACACATGTCAGTCTTGGAAATAAACACATACGACAGGTTTGAAAGCATCGGTAATTCCCTTAGAAAGTGTGTGTGAGTGCTGCGAAATGACTAAACTTGTCGAAGATCTATAATGGACCGAGGACAATAATGTAAGTTAACACATCCCGGTATGTCGAGTAACTGGAGAAGAAAGAATATATTATAGTTTAACATGATTTGAGATAGTTACTTTTAAAAGTAAATGTGATATAATATGTCCCCTTTACATTTTAAAAATAACTATTCAGACATCTGAAACAGAAAAAAAAAAAATACGGAATTTTGATCTAAAGGGAAATGTTTTGAGGTCAGACCTGAAAAGCTCAAACTGCAAAATATCCTACTTCTCAGCAGGGTGAATGCAACACAAATGGGGAGACTATAGCCTCCGTAACCGCTGGGGGTGCCTATTACCTCCCCTTGGTGTGTCCATTCCAGCACTGGTCATCAGTTGCATTCCCAGCAGCCAGTCTGGTGTCCACACACATCTCCTCAGGCAGACTGGACCAAAATCTCTTGGACTGCTTGAGTTTCTCTTTTATGTCAACAACCTAAGGAAAGAGAAAGAGAGAGAGAGAGAGAGAGAGAGAGAGAGAGAGAGAGAGAGAGAGAGAGAGAGAATAAAGGTCATAAAGTAAAACATTTAGTGTGGCCACTGACTGTTGAGGGGTCATTGTTCACCACCACGTCTACTAATGTACCCCTTTGGGACCTTAAATGAGTTTATACAATAATACAAAAATTTGGGTTGCAATTTTGTTCATCGTTAACCTTTAAAACCTGTTATCATAGAATGGTTTCACACCCCCGCCGTGTCAACTTTTTCGGATAAAGGACCAAGCAACTTATTTTAAAAAAATGACCCCCACAGACCACCTAAACCTCCAAAATAGGCTTGATTCCTATTCAACCACTATACAGTACAGTTGACCCACAAAATCTTGGCTGGTTTGTCAAATCAAGAAAGTCATGGTCCATGAAATAACGTTTTGGCCGGTGGGTGTGTACCTGTGTATACAAAAAAACCAAAAAAAAAAAACGCTCAAGTGAATCAATAAATCAGTCTATCAATAGGAAGTGTTGGTGGCCCTATTATATACTAAATGAAGCTACTCAACTTATTTAATGAAAGTTCCTCAGCACACGATCCTCAACTTATTTAATGAAAGTTCCTCAGCACCACGATCCCACAAGATAGTGGCATAACCACAATGTATTGTTTTAACTTGAATACAAAAACAACAACAAAAAAAGCAAATAGTTGAGTTTTCATTGAACGCCGGCGGATAGGATCACAACAAGAAGGTCAAACATACTGGGGTTTGCTTGATGTGTTTAAAAAAAAAAAAAGGAATAAAAATGAAAATTTTGTCACAGACTTTTTTTGCTAAAATTAACAAATCCACTTGTCAAGAAACATTAAGGTACGTAGATATCCTTGATTGGCTTTTGTAGTCATGTGGGTTCAGACAGAGTTTGTGCATTTGCGTAAAACCATTTCAAGAATCAGGTCAGCAAGTGGGCTGGGCGAGGTCAAATAGTGCACAGCCTGACTTATGTCCCTATATTAGACCAGGCAGGACGGCAGCAGCAATGACAAACATTCTTACAGATCTCACTTTACTATGCGCTTTCTGACTTGAGCGTGTTCAACTTCAAACTTTCATCAAGCACACAAAATGTGACATATTTCGCTAGAGTTGAGGAGAGCTCCTGATAAAGACGGGCTGGCCATATTATCTTTTTTTTTGGGGGGGGGGGGGTGCCCGGGTTGCAGGTTGGCTCGTGAAATTGCGGTGAACCTGAGCAGAACATGAAAGGTGCTGTGCTGAGCCTGCCACGCCGCTTGTGGGCCTCCACGGCGCTTTTGATGTGTTAATCCTGTCACACTGATGCCAAGGCACCTCAGCGGCTCTGATGCTGCCCAGAGGGTCACCACAGACGCACTCTGCAGCCACAGATTGACGATCGGGCGATGTCGAACTAAAAAAACCTTTGCGCGTTCAAGATTAGCTTAATGTCACTCGACATCTGCAGGGTCCGTGAAAAGATGTGGATTGAAACCAGAGTGAAAAGTTACATTTTACTGATGCAAATATGCAGAAATAGGTAAACTACACTTCGACTTGGGATGTCTTGGCTCATTGTTGCTTCATTTGGATGATTGTGCAACAACATAGATGCTCTAAACACTTAATGGGAATGCATTAATGTATTCTGTTTTAATCTTTTGATAAAAGTAGGTATGCTGAAAGCTTTTACTCAGGTCGCAAGCATGCATTGCAAAGAACCTCTTAAAATTGCTTTGATTCTTGGTTGTTCTCATCCATCCATCCATTTTCTTTACCGCCAATCCTCAAGGTCGCAGGTGTGCTGCAGGCTATTGTTTGACCATATAAACACTTTTTTTGAGGACTTTCTCGAATCATCGCCAAAATGTTCGTAAAGTAAATCCTCATAGCCAGTTTCACTGATGGTTCCATGGAATTTCGTCAGCATGTTCACCATGAGTAAACCATAAAGAAAGGCTCCGTGAACCATGAAGGAAAACACACAGGAAGTCCGCCATTTTGGCTTGATGCATGTACGGTACTTATTGATCTATGTCAAAGAACTAACATTCTGTCAAGATTTTGTCCAATTGTGATGAAATATGAACCATTCCAATTTGCGTGGGTGGGCGGAGCACGGCGACAACATTTGATGACTCAATACCATGACATTCTTGGAAACTTCAATTTCCCAAGCCAGTTGCACTAAGAAATGTGAAATTTGATTGGCAGGTCAATCATGAGGAGATTCTCATATAAGTTTTAGGGACCAATGCCCCAAAAGGGAGAGGAGTGTCCTATTTTGGTTGAAAGTGGCCATTGATACTGGGTCATTTTGGCCATTTCTAAAGGCGGCTCCAAAAAACAAACCTGTCCTAAAATAAGTGAGACTAAATTTGAACCGCCTATAATTATTATCATTGCCACTATACTGCTACCACTACTACTATTAATGTATGAAATGTTTGTTATCTGACTACTCAATAAATTGTAAAAGTGAAATAATAATCATAATAATAATAATAATAAAAATAATACGATAACGAATAATAATAATAGGTGTATGAGCGGTTAGCACATCCGCCTCACAGTGCAGAGGTGCAGGGTTCGATTCTGGCTCCGGCCTCCCTGTATGGGGTTTGCATGTTCTCCCCGCAATTACGTGGGTTTTCTCCGGGTACTCCGGTTTCCTCCCACATTACAAAAACATGCATGGGAGGTTAATGAGACACTCTAAATTGTCCCTAAGTATGAGGGTGAGCATGAATGGTTGTTTGATAATGTGTGTCCTGCTATTGGCTGGCAACCAGTTCAGGGTGGCACCCGCCTACTGCCCTAAAACAGCTGGGATAGGCTCCAGCATGCCTGCGACCCTTGTGAGGATAAAATGATTAGATAATGGATAGATGGATGAATAAAAGTCATTTTAAAAAAGGCTAATAATGATGATTACTGATTTATATTTTTGTTTCTATTGTCTTTCACCAGCTCACTGCTTCCTGCACTCTGATATGAAGTCAAATGGCTTACTTTTCTTGACATATTCTGAGTGGGATTAAGTGGCAAATAAATCAAGTGTTTAGGGAAACCGCTTATGCATTTGATGATTGATGGAGGTCATTTATGCGAGAGGGAAAACATTTTCACAGAACAATAAAGATGCTTCTGGGAAAGGTCAGCCTCCTTCCCTCTTTACTCCACATGGCCCATAAATAACTCAGTGCAACGAGCCCCAATGCATGCAGTTACCAGCGCTGTCCACTAGATGACACTATATCATCGCGGAAGGCAGAGTGAGGGAGGAACCTACATAGCCTTTCTCTTGCCACTCCTTAAAATACAGTAAAGCACAGTCAACAGATTACATTAGGGCCATTCTGCGGTGCGCTGACAGGTGCTTGTAATATTTTGGTGACTTTGTTTAGCTTTAAACACATTTTTATTTTCATTTCCTTGGTATTCAAGTCAGTATTTCAACTGACTTTCTGAAACAAAGGGGTGATCAACTCGTGGTACGCACATCTGCTTCTGAGCCTAGGTTTTGGGTTAAAATCTTCTGTTTGGAGTCTTCCCATTTTTGGGTTTTCTCCTTTTTCTTCCTTTCCATAAACACGTATGGTAGTTGAATTGAAAACTTTAAATAGTCTTACAATGTAAGTGTGAATGGTTTGTCGAAACGTGCCCTGCGACTGGCTAGCAACAAGTCCAAGGTGTTCCCAGCCTTTTGTACAAAGTCAGCTGGAATAGACTCCAGCTGACATAAATTGGAGGTTTTGCAGATCTCAGCCTCAAACACCGAAAAGGGCAACAGGTTTCAATCACAGAAACAAAGGGTCAAATCATAATTGTTTTTGTGAGCCTTGTTCAAAGGGACCGATTGCCGATTCTGCTTTAATCCAAAGTGTTTATCAAACAATTCAAGATCCTACTGTGGCTTTGAGGCAAGAAAAAGTGCAGCAAGCCCGTCATGACGCATCTACGACTCCATTGCGTTTTGTGATCGCCTCTCTCTTTTGCTCTTCAGTACTCTTTTGTCCTAAATGAAGGCGAAGGTTCCGCAGCTTCACGGCCTGTGATCTTCTACCAAAAATCCTCTTATTCTAAGAAGTACGGTATCTCTCTGCTTCTCTTAAATCTCAGAAAAAGTGGGGCATGGGTGATACATCACTAATGAAGCTGCCCTGTTCTTCCATGTGACTTTTTGCTTCAAACTATAGGAGACGAGATGTTTACAAAGCCACGTTCAGAATATTAGTTCAGCATTAAAAAGAACTTAAAAGTTGCTAGGAAAGCATTAGAGCTGAGGAAAGCATTAAACCGTCTTTCTCCTCAATTCAACTTGTATTGGATGTAATAGAAGACTACTTATTTACAAACTGTATGAGACATGGGGATGTGTTTGCAGAAAATAATTAATTATGGGGGGAAAAAAACAGCATGAGCCGATGAGATAATTGTGTTTGCATTCTTAGAGTGGGCGTGTTGTGTGCAGATGCTCCACAGCCTTTCTTCCAATATTTGTTATGCACACACACACACACACACACACACACACACACACACACACACACACACACACACACACACACACACACACACACACACACACACACACACACACACACACATCACTCAACGTGGATCTCTGCATGCGAACTGGCGGCTGTCTTTCAGCTCAGCACTCGTGCCGGGCAGCTTTCCTGTGACCTTTTCAGGTATCTGACTTTCAAATTAAAGTATAGCCAGAGTACACGACATGTAGTAAAGCACTAAGAAACACCTTGTAGCCAATCGATCATGATCACAGATGCGTCCAGTTTTGTAGGAACAATTTGGGGGTAAGACGTTTTCTTGATGGAGCGTGTGCACAAAGCCAAGTCCATCAAGACATGCTTGGATGAGTTAGGTGTGGAAGAATTTGAAAGCCAAGAATTCCAGCACAGTGGGGTATGATGGGTTTCTAGCACCTGAAGTGAGTCAAGTATTGGCATTCCATAGTT